ATGTTCAAACATATATTTACAGTGTACATAATCAAATTAAAGTGTCTTTATAAAAAATGTCTCAAACCTTTTTTAGAGTGCAGTTTAGGCATTAATAGTCTATGAGCCATTCTGGCCCTAACAAATCCATTTCTTCTCTCAAATCCAGATTTGAATCAAATGCAAATGCACCTGTCACCTCTTTTACCGCTCTTTCACAAGACTATGTGTGTAGGGTAAAGTAAGATGCTTTAAAAGGTGTCTCTATGAAATTGTCAAGATTTTTTATAGATATTTGACAAGTAAATACAGGTTCTGATTTATTTTCTTTGCTCGAGTGGATCAGTTCTTGTATGGATATAGCTCCAGATTGAGTTGAACCTTCTTCCTTGGCCTGAATCAAGTGTCTCCATACTCCTAATCTTTCTGTACATCTTTGATGGCTTTAATGGCCTATGTTTAATAAATTAGTACAAAAGTGTACTTTGCATACAATGTACATAATGCACACTTCTGTACTAATATACTCTTTTAAATGTACTCTGGAAAGAATACAATACATCACATTCTGAAATATTTTTGTATTTAAAATTGTTTTCATTTATTCATACTAGCAATCAATAAAAATTAAAGAAATTACGTTCAACGTCAACAAATTATTGGGTCCATCTTGCCAACGTCAATTGATTAAATGTTTGATTTCAGGCAAGATGAACCCAAGGTTTGCAATAATGTACACTTCTGTACAATGCAATAAATAAAGAAAATGACTATTTAAAAATAACCCACAACTTTTTAAAACTTTGCATTCCTAAATATACAGGGCCGACAACGCGGTTTTCAAGGTTGGGTGGGGGGCACAATCATCAATTACTAAAAAAAGGTCCTCTATATCTAAAAAATTCAAAACCTTTATTTAAAAAAAAAGTCCTTTTTAGAAAAAGTGTATGTATAGGGGAAGGGGGGAGGGGCACGTGACCCCCTGGTCCTCTAGCGTCATTAGCTCTGATATAATCTTAATTTTTCAATGCCAATCATGTTGCCATTTTTTAGACACAAAGAACATTAAAATTGAACTTACTGAGATATGACTTCTTAAAATTTGTGAATTTTTATGATCTGACATATATATATATACATATATATATATATATATATATATATATATATATATATATATATATATATATATATATATATATATATATATATATATATATATATATATATATATATATATATATATATATATACATATATATATATATATATATATATATATATATATATATATATATATATATATATATATATATATATATATATATATATATATATATCCAAAAAGAAATTTTAATGTGGGCCATGTATGGCATTTGCATGCTAACCATATGCTTACCACTTTCCTTTATGGGATGGCGTTGATGCGTCCCATACGTGGCTATAATGCTTATCCCACTAAAACCACACTAAATTAGACCGAACGCCACTCTTCATTTGTGCGTAGAAGTTTCATGTGGCTCACGGGTGGGAAGCACATGTTAGCCATATATTTATTACTCTCCTTTATAGAATGGTGTTGGTGTGCTTCATATGTGGCTTTAATGTTTAACCCACTAAAAACCCACTAAATAAGAGCAAGCCCCACACTTCGATTGCATGAAGAAGTCATAATTATTACTTCAGTTTACCATCTATTGAATTATTATGTCCTATTAGTTTGCACTATGCGTAACATAAAAAAAAAACATTAAAAAAACAAAATCATTATAAGGAAGTTAAGAAAAACAAATATACTATATATACAATTATACCAAATCGCAATATACAAATATGCTAAATCGCAATTTATTAACGCAAGTTTGTAACGATAAATGTAGTTGCATCGATCCAAAACTATAGGTTGATGTTTTAGAAACATTTTCGCTTGTGGGTTTATAAAATCATGAAAGCGTACCCATAATTTCAAATTTTTTAAAGATCATTCAATTTATTTAAGAACGGGATCTTAAAGTAACTAATTAAACTTGTAAGAATGTACTCCAGTAGTTCATCATCAAAAAACTAACTTTATGTACCTTAATTAAACCATAAAACTTTAATATGCAAAATATGAAAGTTGCAATTCCCATAATTATCTTGTTAATGTTGCAACTTATTCGGCTTTAGATAAATTACTTAACAAACAAAAAGCTCTGATATATTTTTTTTAATTTGAAACCAAAAGCATTTTTTCTTGGGGGGATTTTTTCCGGGGGGATTTTTTCTTAGAACCTTTCTTTTTAGTTCAAAAAATTTAAATTAATGCAGAAAATATAATACGCCTCAATTAAAAAGTGTGCTTGTTTGTTTACCTAAACTTATTTTTAGTGACGCATTACTATATAATTTATATGCGGTTGCGGAAGTTTGCTAACATTTTCTTCTATTTTAAAATATAACGTTGTTTAAGTATAACTATAAATTTGTATTCGTTAAGTATAACTCCGATTTACAAATTTTATGGAAAGTTTATTTAGAACAAAAATTCTCTAATATATTCATTGCAAAACCGCTCAAACATTTTTATTTTTTTCTTATAACAAAATTATAAACATTTACAGTTTTTTATAAATTTTATAATATATATTGTATACTTATATATAAGCAGGGCCGTACCAAACGAAGAAGACTTGTGGGAAGGGGGGTGCAATGGAAAAAAGCTAACTTTACAGACAAGATTTTTTTTTTTTTTTAAGAAGCTAAATATCAGTTCTAACCGACAGAGTCCCAAATCTTCCAATTTTCCGACAAAAACCGACAGAGTTTTGTAAATCTAGGGGGGAGGGGTCATAAAATCACATAAAAAAACATAGTTTAGTAATGATAACAAATTGTGTATTACAATAAGTAAAAGTCCTAACACACCTAGGTTTTTGTTTTTTATTTTATATATTTACACTTTTTCTTTTATATATATTTATATTTATCACTCAAACATAACTACAACAGTTATGAATTGAAAGTTATCAAAACGGTAAGCCACATGATATCATAGAATATTCGAGAGTTTACAATGCATTGCGATAGAATTATTACATTGGTTAAAACTTAAAATTCAAAATGAGGCAAAACCGTGAGTTTTATATGTATGACCCATATGATAGCCACATCAAATTTAGCACGTATTTATTTAAGGGTTGTGCCATATTAAGTGGAATAGTTATGTGAACCGCATTATGTGTTCCACAAGTGGGCCACACTTATCTTTATCAAATACGTCATTCATCAACTGTAATATATTTTTGCATTTTTAATCCACACACACATATATATATATATATATATATATATATATATATATATATATATATATATATATATATATATATATATATATATATATATATATATATATATATATATACAGTGCTTGAAGTGAGACGGGATGCGACGGGATGAAATCCCGTTACCTATTCATAAAGTATAAACCATCCCACCACCTTTTCATAAATCTCTATATATAGCAATGGTTAGGCGGGATGGTATTTCTAATTTACCAATTACCATCCTGTTGATCATAAAATTCTTGCTAAAAAATTAAAGTATTATGGTATAACAGGCAATGTTTTACAATGGTTGAAAAGTTATTTAACTAATCGTAAACATTTTGTTTACGCCAATGAGACATTTTCATCAAATTTGTTAAATATTACATGTGGAGTTCCTTAAGGATCCATATTAGGACCTTTTCTTTTCCTTATTTATATAAATGATCTATACGAAGCCTTGGATTTAATAACAATTATGTTTGCTGATGACACTAATTTATTTATGTCTTACAAAAGCATTCCTACTCTATTTGATTACGTGAACATCGAGTTAATCAAAATATTTGACTGGTTTAAGACCAACAAATTATCTCTTAACATTGATAAAACTAAATGGATTTCTTTCCATCCTCTTATCAAAAAACATAAACTGCCAATTAACATGCCTTATCTTGTTATTGACGGTATACAAATTAAACAAGTAACAGTAACCAACTTTTTAGGTGTTTGTATAGATGAAAATCTTACATGGAAAAATCACATTAAAAACTTATCAAGTAAAATTTCAATAAGTATAGGAATACTGTACAAAGCAAGAAATGTTTTAAATAAAACTTATTTAGTACAATTATATCACTCATTTATTCATTATTACAATGCAAACATTGCTTGGAGTAGTACAAATAAAAATAAGCTTAAACCTCTTAATTGTATCACGTCTTATATATTTTAAAGACCGTTTTACTCATTGCAAGACTTTATTATTTGAAATGAAAGTTTTTAATATATATGAGCTTAATATTTTTAATATTTTTTGTTTTATGTTTAAATGTAAAACCAATTCATCTCTTTCCATAATTTGTATTCGTAAAAAGATAAAAATAAATACATTTTACGCAATGATAATTTTATTAAGCAGCCCATTTTTCAAACAAACCTCTTTAAATTATGTATTGATTATCGCGGACCATTCTTATGGAATAAAATAGTTTTAAAAAATTTTACTGAGGATTTTATTATTAATTTATATTCATCAAAGTAACTATTTTTCTTTTAAACGAAAGCTTAAAAAACTTATTTTTACAATCGAAGCTTTAACAACAAAAAAAGGTCCTTAAAACTATTTTGGGGCCCGTTAATCCTGTAGTAGTAATAGTTGATAAGATAGAACTAGCGCTTTTTTCTATTATTACTTTTTTTGTTTGTTTGTTTATTTTATTAAGGGGTCGTCCAAAAATTACGTAACGCAATTTTTGACCGTGAACTCCCCCCCCCCCCCCCCTTCGTCACAAAATCGTAACACTTAAGAAGCGAGTTTTGAATGAGTTGTCACAAAACCACTAACCCCCTCCCCCCTATAGCGTGACGTAATTTATGGACGACCCCTAAGGTGTCATTCAAATGGCTAGTTTTTAAATATTTGAATAACATCAATTTATCACTTCTAAATATTGATACTTACAACCCGTTTTAACTTTAATTCAGCCCGGCGAGATTCTAAAACCCGTCACTAGCCGCATATTAATTCCTTTGACATTTTTTCCCCATGACATTTATCCGTTCATTCGATGAAATAGTTCTTAAATTTAATTATATAATATTCTTAAGATAAATTAACTTTCTTGTGCAAAGAAAATGTCCGAATCACTTGGTTCTGAAGATGGCACAAGTATATTTGATTTGATGAATTCTGGTGCAGGATTAACTTATGAGTAAGTTTTAATTAAAAACGTCGAGGTGCAATATTGTAGTGCAATATTGATCACTATAATATTGTAATGCACTTTACAATATTGTCTATACATTTGTCTTTATAGTGACTTGTAAGACATAATATTTCTCATTTAATGCAACAATATATGTATAAGTTTAGAAATTCTAATTAATTTCAACTTAATAGTAGTTTTTATCTTTTTAAAATTATTAATTTTTTATCAAGCAATTAATCATTTATAGATTTTTATTGATCTGTACTTAACGTAAAGTACATTAAATTTAGTATTTATGCATAATTACGCATAAATACAAAGGGGCACTAAATCATACTATTAATGTTAATTAAATTAAAATTTTACTTCTCAAAAAAAAAAAAAAGTTTAAAAGGAAAAAAATTTTGTTAAAATAAAAAGTGAAAATTTTTCAACGTTTACCTGAAAATAAAAGCAGTCAAATTGTTCCAGAAAAAACTTTATAGTCTACTATCTAATCTACTTTTACTTTTAGGGCCATAAATGAAAAGCAATTTTGTCCCTAACAGCAACATACTATACTACCATGCACTGGTTTGCACTTTAGGAGCCACTTAGGAGGCATTTGTTTGCATGTTATAAGCTAATAATGTTGTAAAGTTAGTCTTGATTTTTCTCTTATATTTTTTTACTATCCAAGATTTATGAAAGTATCATATGGTATATATTTTTTTTTATATGTGAAAGTTCTTTAAAAAATCTAAATTTTTTGTTTTGGTCTTGATATATAAAAAGTATATTTCTTACATTTTTCAAATTTTTGAAAAGTTACAAAAAATAAATAATTGGTTGGTTCTTTCAGTAATGCCTTGTTAAAAGTACCAGCCCAAATATAAAAACAGATATAAAGTGACAAAATGGATTTAGGAGTAAGAAAATAACCAGCACAATAAAAAGCATCTTAATATATCTTTAAAAAAATCATAATAATCAGAATGATAATCTGAGAAGTAAAACAGAGCCATTCAACAATGTAGGGATTCAACAACATTTCAATAATTATAATAAAAAGCTGAGCTTTGTTTAGGATATAATTGATCAATTATATTGTGAGATGTATGGCAAAATTTATAAAAATTTCTGGTTCAATTGACATAGAATTACCCCAAATTTTAATTTTTTTTTATTTTTTATTTTTAAATATCTTCGCTTCCAACAAGGCTGCAAGCAACCGCTAATTAGTGTTGGAAGTTACTGGAAGAGAAGGTGAAGATTGTAGAGCAAGATAATAATTGGCAGATGTCTTAAAAGATTGCAAATTATATGAATCAGGAAAGCAAGATGAAGGAAGCGAATTCCAAAGAACTGATATTTGAGGGAAAAAACTAGACAAATAAGAGTTTTTGGAGCACTTAAGAACAGTCACAAAAAAAGGATGAGACTTAATTGAATGACGAGTAACACAAGAATGAATTTTAGTAGATGGCACAAGAGACACTAGCTCTTTAGAGAAGTGCCCATTATAGTATTTGTAGAAAAGAGAAAGAGAAGCAACATTATGACGATGTGATAATGGTTGAAAGTTGGCTGCAAGAGCAGGTTCAACTATGTTTACAATGTGTTTTTGCACCTTGTCTAAAAGAGAAAATCCGCCCCAGATATGGCAACAGTATTCCATACAAGGCCGGATTTGAGATTAATAGAGATAAAAAATAGAATCCAGAGTAAGAAAGTGTTGAGCTCGATAAAGAGATGCAACTTTAGCAGATGCTAATTTTGCAAAGGATTTGATATATGATTTCCAAGAAAGATCAGAAGTAAGAGTTAATCCTAGAAGATGAAGGGTAGATGACTCATCGAGTACATTGTTGTTCATAAATATAGGAAGGTCTAAATTATTGCAATAACGATTGGCTGAAAAAAGTTGACCATAACAAGAATAAATGGTAGTATCATCAGCAAACAATGCCACCTTAGATGTGAGAATATCTGGAAGATCGTTAATGTAAATTAAAAAGAAAGGAACCCCTGAGGTTACAGAATAAGAAGAAGAGTTCTGTCTATCAAGGACAACTTTTATACTACGATTGGAAAAGAAGGATTCAATAATCTTAAAGATGTTTCCAGATACACCTTAAGAAGAAAGCTTATGGAGAGTACCAGCATGCCAAACTTTATCAAATACTTTAGAAATGTCAAGAGCAATGACCTTAACCTCTCCACCTTAATCTAATGCACGATAAAACCTATGGGTTATTACTGTTAGCAAATCAGCTGTAGAACGAGAAGATCGAAATACATATTGATTATCAGAAAGTAAGTTATTACATTCAAGATGAGAGATTAAGTCTGTTAATTAAAGATTCAAAAACCTTATGATAGGAAAAAGACTAATGGGATGGTAGTTAGACGAATCAGATCGCTCTCCAGAATTTTTAAAAATAGGGGTAACAGATGCTGCTTTCCAGCAGGCTGGAAAACAAGACACTGATAAGCACTTGTTGAATAGTTTTGAAAGCATAGATGACAGTTCCGAAGAACACTTCTGCAAGACTATAACAGGTATGTTGTTCGGCCCACAAGCTGTAGAAGAGTCTAAGCAGGAAATCACTTTAGATAAAGAAGCTGGAGTAAAATGAATGTCAAGCAATGGATCAACCTGTTTGATGGCTATATCAGGTAGAGTGCAACTAGTGGCATCCAGAGATTGATGAAAAGTTCTTAGCAAATAATTCAGTTTTGTCTTTAGGTAAGGTGACAAAGTCTGAACCATACAAAATAGAATCGTTACAAAGGTAAGATTATCAGGAAGGTTATTAATATGATGGGGAAGCAACACGGAATCAAGAACAGAAACTTTAGGTACCCCAGAAGTTACTAGAAATTAATGAGCCAAATTTAATATCTAAGCAGTAGAATGAATGAATTGAATTCTGTATTGATTGTCAATTGTTAGATCTCATACAATTGTAATCTCTTGCTAGAGATTATAGTTATAAGAAATAATACAATGAGATAAAGCTTTATATATATATATATATATATATATATATATATATATATATATATATATATATATATATATATATATATATATATATATATATATATATATATATATATATATAAATTAGTAGAAAATCACTTAGCAAAATTTTTTTATTTTAAATAAAAAAAAAAAAATTTTGCAAAGTGATTTTCTACGAATTTGTAATTGCTCTGTTCTTTTAAGAACATTGAGCACTCTTTTTTTAGAATACATTTTAAATTGTTTAAATATATATATATATATATATATATATATATATATATATATATATATATATATATATATATATATATATATATATATATATATATATATATATATATATATATATATATATATATATATATAGATATATATATATTGATAATAATATATATTGATTATAATATTTTAAATAGCAATAATCTTTTAAATTTTTCAATATTTTAATCATTTATTTATTTTAATAATTGTTATCTTAATATTTTGCTGTGTGATTTTTTTAGGTAGTATATGAACATTAATATATTAAAATAGCATAAGAACATTATAATATTGAAAAGTTAGTTTGATGATATACTTCTAAGCCTAAGTATAGTTTTTATAATCTAATTTTTGAAATCCCAGTGTCATTTGATCAAATAGAAAATAAATAATGGAGAAGAGTAAGCATTTTCTATTGAACTTCAAAATTAGCTCAATGGAGGATTTAAGTTCTGTAAAAATTATTCTTATGAATTCATATTTGAAATAAAAAAAAGACCTATTTTCTTTTTTTTAAATTGTTTGTTAAATTGAACAACATAAATTCTGATGAGTCTTTAATGATGAAACACAGGGTTAAATGAAAAAAAATTTTGCTAAGTGATTTTTTACTACTTTATAATTGCTCTGTTCATTTAAGAACATTGAGCATTCTATTTTTGTAGAATAGATTTTAAAATTGTTTATATATATATATATATATATATATATATATATATATATATATATATATATATATATATATATATATATATATATATATATATATATATAAATATACAGTGGCATAGGAAGGTTTTTAAATGTTTGAAATAACCAACTTATAAACAACAAGAATATTTCAAATTTTTTTATGTTCATATGTATAATGAAAAGATTCATTAAAAAAAATTACTGTTATAGGAGAACGGGAACAAGAAACCCTAAAATCTTTAAAAATTTTGGAATATTCCTGCTCTTAATAAGTTATTTCAAACATTTAAAAACCTTCCTATGCCACTGTATATATATACATACTAAATTTAATAATTTTTAGTGATTTCATTATTCTACCTGGATACATAGACTTTGGCACTACAGATGTAGTAAGTTTATTTTTTTTTTTAATCTAAAATAATAAGTTACAATATAAATTATTTATGATTATCTTTATTTTAAATTATTATAAAATTGGGGAAGATTTCATAGTTTATTCATGATTACTTTTGTGTTCAATATCCTTTCCCCTCACTTATTTAATTTTGTCAATAAGCATTAGCAGAAACAGTCTACTCATTTTTACTTAAAGTTAATTTCTACTGTAGTTAAATCTGATGATTCTATTTATTTTTCTCTCTGATGTCACAATAAAATAGGTAGAAGCAATTTGAAAGCAACCATTACTAGACTTGATAGTTACTGAAAGATAAAAAATGAAGTTTATGAACCAAGATAACAATTAACAGATGACTTAAAAGGTTGCAAACTATATAAATCAGGAAAACGATATAAAGGAAGCAAATTACTAAGAACTGATGTTCTTTGTAAATAAGAATTTTTGGAGAACTTAGAAACAGTCACAGTAAAAGGATGAGACTTGATTGCATGACAAGTAACACATGAATAAGTTTTAAGTGAATAAGTAGATGGCGCAAGAGACGCTAGCTCTTTAGAACATTGCACATTATAGTATTTGTAAAAACTGAAAAACAGGTACTTTTGGATTTTTTATATGGTTTTTCACATAAATGATACAATTCCACCTCTTTCTCATTTATTTATTTTGAATTTATAAATAAGCAAGTATTTTTTTTTTAAATTCAATTACAGAAATTTTATATAATACATTAATTAAATCAATATAAAGTTTATGTTTTTTTAATATATAAATAAAGTAGTATACAAATAAACAATAAACAATGGAGAAGAACAAACTGTAGAAAAAAAAATTTGAGTATATTGAAAAAAAAAATTAACAATGTGGTAGAAAACCCATAGAGACCATTGTATCTTTTGAACAGACCTATTTTAGAGGTTTTCCAATATCAGTTGCCTACAAATGGAGACATTTTAAGGAGATATTTCCATATTATTTCTTCAAAGCAATTAAGATATAAGTCAACAATATTAAATATTTAAAATAAAAAGTTAAAATGTCAAATCCCTGGTGTAAAATGTGACACAGGTGTTTAAGATTGTCTTGTCCAAGAAGTAGTAAATATCTGGTGCAGAGCGGGATGTCAAAAAGACTTCTTGATGAAAAGTTATTAGAGATAAGATTATAAAGCTTAACAAAAAATGGAGAAAGAAAAATAGATTTTCTTAACATATTTATAATAAATTGTTTTTTTTTCTAATTTTAATTATCAACCTCTTTTTTTAAAGTTGTAAATGTGTAAATTTTGTCTTTTTTTTTTCATATTAGATTGATTCTCGAAACCGACTATAAAAAAAACTTCAAATGAGCTTTTTGACATGATCGCAACAGATGACCTGATAACATTAAAGAAGACATTGAATTCTTAAACGATCAATAGTCAACTAGAAAAACATATACAACTGAGGATATTGACATGATTTTCTAAAAGAGAATTGAATTTAGGAATAACTTAGACAAAAAACTTGTTTTGAAATAAAAAATTGTTTGAAAATCTCTGATTCTGATACAGAATCAATAAACTTTGAGTCAAGAAGTGAAGAAGATAAAAATTTCTCTGTGTGGTTAACAAGAAAAAAATAAAAAAGATTTGATGAGCTGCATTTATCAATATCAGGGGGCGGATTAATAAAAGTGACAAGTGAAGTTGCTACAAGATTTCATAATGGTGTAAGGGTTCATACAGTAATTCTTTCCTCAATTCTAAAGCATGCAGGGCATAGTTTGGAAGATATTGTTTTGTCAAAATTAGGAACCCACAAAAAAAGATTTCATACCATCAAAAACAAAGGGGAGGAAATTACAAATAGTTATAAAAATGTTTTAATTGGTACGAAACTTAAAAATAAAATTACTGTTAAAATGTAATAATAAAATAATAAAAGAATCTTAAAAATAACATTACTGTTAAAATGGAAAAGATTGCAATGTGTGGCGGCTCCTTAGTATGGTAGTAATAGCGACATTCTGCTAGGAGTGTTCCAAGCAAATCCATCTAAAGGCAAAGACTAAGCAAAACAAATAAAAAAGGTACTAGAAGATTTTGAAAATAATATTTTTGCTGTTTGTACTGACACAACTGCTTAAAACAATGGTGCCTATAATGGAGGAATTAAACTTATAAGTAAGTATGTTGTCGTGAAGCACATTATGTAGCTTTTATGTCGTCAAAATATATATTAGAGACACACAGGGGCATGCTGGCTCCAAAAAGTCTATAGAGTATTTTTCCAAAAAGGTCCATATATGTGAGATTTCTCCAATTATGCTTGATAAAAATTTTAAAAAAAGGCCCTTGTAGGATAAGTAGCAATAGGCCCAAGTGGGATTCCCGGATAGCCTATGGGGCCAGCACGCCACAGGAGACACATCAGTCATTTAGTGCAAGTGCTAACAGGAAAGACTAAGGCACCACAAAAACAGCTGTTTGCATATTTAAAAAAAAATTGGCCTGAAAATTTTCAGGTATGCAATGAAGATATTAACTATTAGACATATTTAATTTTATGCATCAGATTGCACAAGAAGCTAAAGAATATTTAGGAAATTCCATTACCCTGAAAACCTTTTCCAAGATGAGAACAGATTATATAAGATTATGTGAACTAGGTTATTTTATTTCGGTAACGAAGTGCCAAATTTCTACCTTTATCAACCCCTGCTTGTCATGAAGCTAGATTTATGGCAAATAGGATATTTATTTAAATGGAATATATTTATTGATGCTTCAACTAACTCAGAAAAAACTGAAATTGAAAATGTCAGTGGAGAAAATAGAAGATGTCAACAAAATTGCACCTTTTGTAGCAATATTTTGCATTTCTAGGTTTCTGAAGTCATCTATCATAATTCAGGCACCATCTAATGATCTCAAAGCTATTAAAGCAGCGGAAAGCTTAGAGGAAGAAGGCAAAAGTCTGAAAATTTCTCTTCTTAGACATACATGGTACTTGGCTGAAAATGTTGTTATTGTATCACTATCAGGTGTAACTAATGAAGAGAAACTTCTAATGATACAGAAACTCATCCCTATCCCAAGGGTATTAATTATTTTGAAATAAAGAAACCAGAGATTAGAGATAATATAATCATTAACAAGAACATTCATTTGCACAAGTTTGTTAGGAAAAACAGCTTTTATATTTTTTTCATACTCGATCTTAAAATACAAGATATATTGTTTTAGATTTCTGATGGAAAATATGTTGATCTTTATCTCAGCCTTAAAGATTTTTTTTCAAATATTCAGCACAAATGACTGTTTATATTTTTTCCTAATGCAAGGTTTCCTGGCAGACAGTCATAATGAAAATCAGAGACACAACATCATGGTGGTTGCTAAAGAGAATAGAAGAAGTGTGTATAAAAGAATGAAAAAGAGTGATTTGAACAATATAATTCCATAGCCAAAAGTATTTTAGATTAAATATAAAGTTTTTTTTTTAACTTTAATCTAACAAAAAATATTTTGAACCAAAATAAACTGTTTTATTCTTCGGATTGTTTTGTTATTTAAATATTAAACATTTTGAAGAAAAATGGAAATCTACGCCTAACACTTCCTGAAGGTTTAAAGACCTAAAATTTTGCCTTTTTTTATCTATTTAAGGTACAACCATATATAAAATATATATATTTATATAAATATATATATATATTAATATATATATATATATATATATATATATATATATATATATATATATATATATACACTATATATATATATATACATATATATATATATATATATATATATATATATATATATATATATATATATATATATATATATATATATATATATATATATATATATATATATATACACACTATTTATATATATACACATATATATATATATGTATATATATATATATATATATATATATATATATATATATATATATATATATATATATATATATATATATATACACACTATATATATATATATATGAAGAGTTGTATATATATATATATACATATATATATATATATATATATATATATATATATATATATATATATATATATATATATATATATATATATATATATATATATATATGTATATATATATATATACAGGCTTGGTCGGGAAGCGGGAGCGATCGCTCTCGAATACTGACCACGGAAATTATATTTAGTTGCGTAAAACTGGCCAGGTTTTTTAGTCGTTTTGAGAACATTTAAGTTTATGTACGAAACAAAAAATTTTTGTTTTACGGACATAAATGGAAACATAAAAAACTTGAATGTTCTCAAAACATCTTTGTGCGAAAGAATAAAAAGAATGTTTGCGAACACTAAAATACCGCCAAATTAACGAACAAACTAATTCTATTGGTTCAAAAAATACGCTGATTAAGTGAAATAAAGTTGTTCTAGAGTATTCTGTTAAAATGTTTTAGAAATTGTATTATTCACGATTTGTTACGTTTTGAGATTTTTAGCATTGTTTTAAGAATTTATATTATTTGTTTACGAAAATAAATGTTTTAAATATATATTAGTTAAATTGTTAAAATTTTCAAAGTTTATTATAAATCATAGATTTTATTAGTATATTCTTATTTTTTATTTTAAAAGAGATTGTATTCTTTATGTAAATGTAATTTTGTGTATTTATTTTTTATCGTAATGTATCTTTTAAAGCAATTTTTATGATTTAAACAAGGACTTACAAAAATAATTGTGTTTTTAATGAAGTTTTAATCGTTAAAGTTAATAAAACATATAAGAAGTTTCTGGTTACTAAACACAAACAACGCATACAAAGTAACTCGCGGATGAACAAGCATCGCGCCTGAGGTCACGACAGAACACAAATATATATAGCAAATAATTAGATATAAAAAAAGTTTCTAGATATTGGTTTACTAACTCTAATTATTTTCGCTTAAATTGCCATTCTTAAAACTCGTTATACTTTTTTCTGCTTTAAAC